CGCTTGGCCCGCGCCGTCTGCTGGTCCTCGGTTGACGCTGCCCTCGTCGCTTGGCCCGCGCCATCTGCTGGTGCTCGGTCGACGCCGCCCCCGCCCCCCTCGAGGCTACCGCCACCATTCGAGATCAAGCCGTGCTGCGCTCCTTGGCCTCCTGCCTTGACGTGCCAGCCTCGGGGACGCTCGGCTCCCGGATCTGCCTCGACGGACCGGCCTCGGCCTCGTCCCTAGCGCTTGAGACCCAGGCGACGTAGGCGTCGCCCGACGGGAAGGTGCTGCGAAGATGGTCGATGTACGCGGCGACTTTGTGGTCGTCGTCCAGCTTCTTCAGAAGGTTCAGGCCCCTGAGCATAAGCCGAACGTTGCCGCGAACGTAGCCTTTGTCGTTGTCGAGGCGATCGAGCGAGATGTGCTCAAGGTCGAAGACCGCGCCGGTGCAGTCTCGCACGCGGCCGTTGCCGGCAAAGTTGCGAGCGACCATGTCCTCGACCTCGGCCTCCGTCAGACTGAATCTGTTGGATGGAATCAGGACCAATTCTGAATGAGTACCTGTCCACTCGAACTCGCCTGTTGCTTTGTACTTACTCCTTGATCTTCCCGGGCTTCTTGCCTTTCTTGATCGAGGTGTTCGTACTAGTCCTCTGGCTCCGCTTCTTCTCGAACCAGCTCCTGAAGTCGGCGCGGTCCTTGGCGTTCATCTTCAGCGGCACGAAGGGCGTCGGCTGGAGCATGCCATCTTCCAGAAGCGAGTCGCTTGTGTCGATGATCGATGGAATGATTACGGTTTCCATCTCTTCTTTGTCGAGGTCCGCTTTCGTCGCGTTGCATCCCCAGCATGTGCACTGTACGTTGCCTTCTTCGTAGCGTCCGCCGCGGACACCTGGCTCGATCCGATCGAACGAGGCGCGGTAGAAGGGATATCCGAGCCCCTGTGCATCCCATGCGGTAAGGACGACCCCGCACATCTCGCATATGCCGTCCGCCTCCTCGTAGGTCTTGACGAACAGATCGTACAATTCGTCGACCTCGGCGTCGCGATCCTTGTCCCCGTGGCTGCAGCCGCGAGCTCCGTCTTCCTCTCGGATGGTGTCAACTGCCTTTGAAGCCTTCAGACGGATATCGGTCCGGAAATTGAGGCGGCCTTGACCATGGTTGGCCTTGTTGGGGCAGACGCCCCCGACGAGCTTGAACCGGCCGTCGCAAGCGATGTTCAGGCAAAGGTTCTTCGCCTGCCGCTCACCACGCTTTTCTTTGTACAGTCTCTTGGTCTTGTCGGCGTGCTTTTCGTATTCTTGCCGAAGGGTTGGCGGAGCGAGGGCGGCAATTGAACGCTTCGAGGGGGGGAGGGGCGAGAGCAGAGCGTTGACGAGAAGCGTGGCCATCTCGTGGCGAGAATTCGCACCAGATGAGGCATTCCTGTCAGAAGCAGAGTGTCGGACTTGGTCAGCTCACACGGTGCCGGGATCTTCGCGTCGCGACAAGGAAGAGCGCACTCACAGGTAGTAAAAGCTCGGGTGCTCTGCGCTTTGGCGCAATGCGATGCAGGTCATGTATGCGAGCTCCATCTTGTTCCACTTGGATTCGACGAGAGCCACAGGATCTTTCACGACCTTGAGAAGCTTTGTGAGCTCCGGGATCATAGCCCAGGCGGCGTCCCCATCCTTCGCACCAGGGTCGATGTCGGCGGTGGATCTGCCGAGGAAATCCGTCATGCGCACCACATCAAAGATGTGCCCAGGGATAGCTTGTACTTCTTCGTCGAGGCTCTTGACGAACGCGATATCGTGCCTCCCCTTGCGCGCCATCAGAGCGGTCTCCAATTTGACTCGACCAAGCTCTCTCGCAGCGGAGATTACCCTGGGGCCGAGTTCCTCCCTGGTGCCCTTTGTGGATGACATTTGGCGACCAAGCTTTTTGGTGACCTGGGCGATCGTCTTGGCTCGCCCCCGTGTGCAGGTCTCTGTAAAGGCTTTGAGGATGGTGGATCCTGCGTCGGCTTGGGCGAGGGCGAGGAGCTGCCGAAGCGACTGAAGCTCGGCATAGCTGTCTGCGGCCTCCGCTGTCCAGACCGCTGGGCAGCCCTGGTATCGCTGCGAGAATTGCGATCGAGACATGCACTCGGGTATGAAAAGGATCCTGCTTTCGGGGCCGCCGATGTATACTGGCTTCCAGTGCACTACCGCTTCGTCTGACACGGCGGCCAGGACCAAGGGCAAGTGTCCCCCCTTGGCTACGACGTGCTTCTTGCGCGATCCTTTCTTTCTCGGTCCGATAGTGCTGCTGGATTCAGCGGCCTTGCTGGCCTCGGAAGCAAGTGCCTTGTCGACCCAGTTCGAATCGATGGCACTCGTCCCCTTCGGCTCCGTAGGCCCGTGGCAAGCGGAGGCGGTGCTGCCGAGCCAGTCTGCAAAGCTCACTTTGGGGCGGGTCGCCATGGCTGCAGCGATGATGGCGTCGACTTGATCGCCGGGCTCTCCACTCGCCGACGCTGCGCTTTTGGTGGTGACGGCCTCTTTGTCCCGGCTGCTGCCGCTGCTCGTGGTCTGCAGCTCTGCGCTTCTTACGCTGCTGGTGACGTTCAGCTCGGCGCTGCTGATGCTGCTCGTGGTCTCCGGCCCTGCGCTGCAGAGACCCATGAGCTCCTCAGGAAGACTGCTCTGGCTCATCGCCGCCGAAGGGAAGACCGATGCGGGATCGACACCTTCCTTGCTCGAGCCGCCGCCGCTGCACGATTGCGAGAAAAGGCTCTGCATTTCGACCGGCGAGGGAGCTGCTTCGTCTGGGTTGCTAGCTAGAGTCGAGATTTCAGTGTCTGAGTTTCGTGTACGGAGAGCACAGAAACGATGTCAGCATACAAGCTGATGGCAAGAAGCGAGGCCAGCCAAGCCACGGGGACGGAACAGCCGCTTACCTTGGGCGTGCGCGCGCTGTTGGCCGGTAGTAATGGCGCCGCTGCTCGTTTCCTGCGTGATGCGGGGGGTGGCGACGACGCTGCCACAGGCACTTTTGCTGCTGCGCCAGGAAAAGGGGGTGGGCAAAGAGATGGTGCTGCTGGGCATGGCGCTGCTTGAGCGCGGGACGCCTCGAGCCGTATCGACAGCGTCCTTGCTGGAGCTAACGCTGATCGAGCAGCCAGGTAGAGTACCGGCTGCTGCATCACGGCCGCTTGGGATCGCAGAGCCAGCGACGGTCTGCTTGTTGCCCGGAGTGAGGCTCGCGGGCTGAGCGAGGTTCGCGGGCTGAGCGAGATTCGCGGGCTGAGCGGTGTCGGTGGATGCTGCACGCACACACACATGATAAAGGACGGAAGACTTCAGTATGCTTGCTGCTGTAGACAGCTGCTGCAGGGGAAACGCGAGCAAAGGCAGACATCGGAGCGACTCACCTTCGGGACGGCGGCGCTGTTGGGGCCGGAGGAAGGCGTCGAGGCCAGGCTGGTCGGCCTCGCGCTTCCTCGGCGGCTTCTTGACGTAGTAGTTGGGTTTCATGCAGCTCATGATGTGAATGAAGATAGAGTCAATGCTGACGGTGAGGGAAGTGAGAGCAGTGAGGATGGTGTGGATGGTGTGGATGGTGAGGATGGTGAGGATGGTGAGGGTGACCGGGGGAGGGCAGGTGCGCCACCGAGCCTCGCCCCCCAAAAAAAAGGCAGGCGCTCGGGGGGCCGCCCTGTGAGGGTCAGGCAGGCCTCTCTGTGCCAGGCCGACCATCTGGCGCTTTCAAGGCCTGCCAGCACACGCACATCCCTTGTCAAGCTGCACTTGATACCGGCTCTTTTCAACCTGGGTGAGATGTGGCAGACTCTCCCTCGCAGCCAGGACCTTACCGACGAGACAGCGGCCTGAATCGAAGCGACCAGCAAAGGTGACATTTCGAGTGGGTGCGGCTACGAGAGGATCTCTGGAGGTGTGACTACGAGTCGAGCTATGGAGCATTGCGGCCAACAGTGTAGCACGCTGAGGGCCAAGGGCTCCTCGACCTGTGAGAAGAGGACTACCGCCGGAGACCGCCATGCCCCTTTTGTCGTCTCCTCTGATCCCCTGGCGACGAGGCGGGACATGGCTGCAAGAGCACGCGGGTGGACGAAAGGGGGGCGACGAAGGGGTGTGGCGGCATCAGCAAGACCTGCCTCTCGGATGCCCGGTGTCGATGCAAACGCGACGCATGGCGAGCGAGCCGTCGACTGGTCCCGCCTTGGTCCCACTCCCCTCGCTCTCCCTAGCCGCGCGAGCCCGGCTGGCATGCGGCGCTCCTTGCCGACGGCGCTTTTTGACAGCGGCATGACTGGCTACGTGGGCGCAAACGGATGGCGGGCCCCTGCCGAGGGTGTCGACCCACCTCAGACGACGCCTTGGCCGCCTCACTCGAGGGTGGACCACTTGACCCTCTTTGCCTTTGGATACTTGAGGCCGGTCTCTGCGTTGCGCTTGATGACGACGTCGATGTAGCCGCGTTCGTCGTCCTCGGGGATGCAGCAGGAGCAGACGCCGTAAAAGAAGCCGTCCCTCATGTTGTTCTCCTCCCGCCTCAGCATGTGCTCGTAAGTGTCAAAGATGCGCTTGAGGACTGCCGCGGGGCGCGCGACGGGGAGAGAGGGGGCGGTGTGGGGTCAGTCGCGGCGGTCGTCGTCGGCCGACCGTTAGTGGTCGGGGGCCAGGCTGCACGTACGCTCGATGGGGAGCTGCGAGAGCCTGCAGGTGGGGTCCTGCCAGCAAACGGCCTTGACCTCTTCGTAGAGGGCGGGAACCTCGGAGGCGAAGTGCTCGATCATGGCGGTGTGCGGCGGGCGTGGATTGGCGTGGCTCGGAGGGAGGCGCCGAGGGAGGCGCCGAGGGAGGCGCCGAGGGAGGCGCCGAGGGAGGAGGATGGGCGGGTGCGAGATGGAGGTCGAGGAGCAGCAGAGCGAGGGAGGCAGGACGCAGTCGAGTGAGAAGGGAGAGGAGGCAGGGGCGGAGGTGGTGGTGACGGGGTAGAGGGGGCCAGAGACCTCGCGGGCCAAGGGGTCGAGCGGGCCTGGTCGTCTGCCCGCGGGAGGCAGGCTGGCTGGCCCGCTGGCTGGCTGGTTGGCAGGCCAGACTCTTTCGGATCGGGCCCCGCTCCGCAGCTATCCAGGCCTGGTTCGAACTGAGCACAGCCTTGACGATCCCGCGAGGCGCGGCGAGGGCTGGTCGCCGTCGGGCTCGCGCGCCTACCAGCGTCGGTTTTGGCTACGCCTTGCCAGGCGGGGGCCAGGCCCGCTGCCGGCCCGCCCCGACGCTCGCTAGAGCTGCCAACTTGGTCCGTGGCTGCCCGTCCTCGCTGACACGGTGCACCTCGTTGTGAGCCTATTGGGTCTCCCGCGGCGAGACTGAGGTCCTCTGCGGCAGGTTGCAGACGTCGAGCTGGCGGATGGGGGTTGCCCTACCCTGGACTGGTCGGGAGCAGGCCGGGCCAGGCAAGGCTGTGCTGGGCCGCACCGCACCGCACCGCACCGCGCTGGCGTCAGGGTCCAGCCGCTCACGTCAAAGCGGGGCGCTGTTGGGCGCTCTCAAATTTCCCCCTTTCTTCCAGAGGTCGGCCGGCTCGCCTTCCCCACTCCTCCTCCACACCTTCCATCACAACCACCACAACCACCACCACCACCATCTTTGCCGCCCTTCGCTGCAACCTCCTCAATCACCACGGGGACCAACATGGCCGACCCTTCATCCTCCTCCTCTGCGGCACCGGCGACGACCGACACGTCGACGCCCAACTTGCTGCCGGGCGGCTTCCACGCCTTTGCGCCCCAGTCCGACTTTCTCGACAACTCGAGCACCAACTCGATCCGCCCGCTCACCGACGCCATCATCACCGTGCGCATCATCAAGAGCTTCGAGTTCAGAAGCATGAAGGCCTACGTCGTAAAGGGCATCGACCTCACAACCACCAGCGTCGCCGACCTCGAACAGCGCTGTGTCAATGGTGAGTGGCCCCATAGCCCCGCGCGAGCTGGTCCGACGAACGACCGAGCACGTCGCTCATCTCGAACCTCGCTGCTCTCAACCCCTCCTCGCAGAGGTCCGGACGAACCCCGCGTTCAAGGCGTTCCGCAGCTACGCGCCCAAGCTCGACACCCTCAAGCTCTACACGCGCGCCCACGGCAGCAAGACGACCAACCTCATCATCAACCTCGACCACCCGGAGTGGCTCCTCACCGACGACAACGTCGCCGCCATGGTGCCCGGCAAGTCGCGCGCCACGGCCACCCTCGCCGAGCTCGGCATCGAAAACGAGCACGAGCTCAGCCTCTTTAACCGCGACGAATACGAACGCTTCCTCGCCAACCCCGAGGTGCGGTGGGACAGCACCGGCTGACACGCCAGCGCCGACGTCGATCCGATACCGTTACCGATACCATAGAGGTGGCCGAACGGCCGAGTCTTCCTACAACGAAACGGGCTTGCGCATGCAGTACGGCATCAGACGGGATGTGACCAGACCAGACAAACGGGCCGCGCGGGGGGGGGGGGGGGGGATGCATCGACTTGCATGCGTCTATTGCGGGATGGCTAGGCCTCTGCCGGTGAGTACACCGGCGTCCGTGCAGTGTTCTATGCTACCTGACGCGCTCGCTCCCCTGCGCTACGCCACCTCCCTGACCACGAGCGCCGACCGCAGACCCGCCTGCACGGTGGCGGCCACCTCGACGGTGAAGCGCGCGCCCGTCTTTGGCGACCACTTCTTTGCGTCCCAGATCATGTCGGCCGTCATGCCCAGGCCTTCGACCTGGACGCGCAGGCGGGCGCCCAGCGTCAGCGAGTTGATGCGCACGTGGGCGAGCGTGAGGACGGCCTGGTGCGGGCCGAGGATGCGCGCGTCGGCCTCGGTGGCACGCCCCTCGCGGCGACGCTGCAGCGCGTCCTCGATGGCGCGCAGGATCCACGCGCGGCTGGCGGCGCGGTTGAGCTGCTTGGAGAGGAGCTCGGAGCGCTCAAACTGGCCCAGCCGGTGGCGCAGCTCGGTGCGCGAAAACGCCAAGGGTCGGCCGAGGAGCGACGACTTGAGCTGCCAGTGCGCCACCATGTCCGGGTACCGGCGCAGCGGCGACGTGGCGCGGATGTAGCCGCCCTTGGACAGCGCGTCCGCGCCGACGGCCAGGCTCTCGCGGTTGCAGATGCCCATGGCAAAGTGCTCGCCGGAGTGGTCGCTGTACTGGCCCTGCGGGATGGTGAGGTCCTCGATGATCATCTTTTCAAAGTCGACGCCGCCCGTGTCCGGGTCGCGCATCGCCAGGATTCGCTCGAGGTCCTTGGGGTCCTCGGGCCGCGGCTGGAGGCGGTACGGCAGCGGCACGTCCCTCTGCTCGCCAAACGCTCCCGCCACCCGTCCCGCGAGCAGCATCAGCTCCGCGACGAGGAACTGCGACGCGTGCACGCTCGGGTCCTCCTGCACCGACAAGACCGACAGCGACACGTCGGGCGAGCCCGTGTAGAAGCGCGGGCCGTCAAGGCGCGCGGAGGACACCATCGTGTCCGGGAGCGGCAGCGGCGAGAGCGAGAGCGACGCGCTGCGGCGCCACGCGTTGATGGCCGTGCCCCGGATCCTCGCGGCGGCGAGCGCACGAGCGATGCGGTGCAGCCGGACCAGGTCGCCGCTGGCCGACGACTGCCGCAGCATCTCGTTGACGCGGTCGTAGGACACGACGTTGACGTTGTGCACCCATGCCGGCCGGACGTGGAAGTCGTCGACCTGGCCGTTGCGCGCGTCGATCTTGGCGCTAAATGTCATGACGCGCTGCCCCTGGCCCGCCCGCGTCGACTCGGCCGTCGGGGCGCGCAGTCCGACGCCGGCACTGACAAAGTCGTCGGGCAGCAGCGCCCAGCGCGCCTCGGGAAAGTAGAGGGTGCTGAAGCGTCGGCGCGCGCGCGTGGCCAGCGCGTCGTCGGGCCGCATCGAGGCCGTCGGGTCGGCGATGTGGACGTGCACCCACGCCTGGTCCTCGCTGCCCGCGATCGGCTCGATCGAGATGCCGTCGTCGAGCTCAAAGGCGCCGGCGTCGTCGATGACGTAGACCGGCAGGTCCTTGCCAAAGTCGTGTCGGATCGCCTCGACGTCGGCGTCGATGCCGAGCTGGTAGGCCGAGGAAGGTGAAGGAGTAGTCGATGCCGAGGCGACGGGGGCGGTCGTCTCCTCGGACCCGTGCGGCTCCGGCTGCCCGTCGCCCTCACCCGAGACGAGGGTACGGAAGGTGGTGTCGAGGCGGAGGGGGTTGTGCCACGGAGCGAGGTAGCCAACGTCCTTGAGGAAGCGGAGGACGAGGGCATGCTGCAGGTCGGGCCCCGCCAGGATGACGCCGCCGAGCTCTCGGAGGATCTCGTAGGCGTGGGCGTCGAGCTCCGACGCCGGCGAGGCAGTGGCGGCCGCCTCGGAGGCAGTGGTGGTCGCCGGCGACAGCTCGGCCGACGACGTGGGGGAGGCGGGGAAGAGCAAGGTGTCGGCGGCCTCGTCGAGCTCCATGTCTGGCCTGCCCGCCGGATGCGGCCGGACGCGGATGTGGGCGCCGGCGCGCTTGAGGATCTCCATGGCGATGCTGCCGTGGGTGTCGTCCTGGATGGCCCGTCGGCTGCCGAGGCTGGCCTCGAGGAACGAGAGGATCAGGCGGTCCTCGTCGGACCACTGGACGTCGAGTCCCTCGGCGTCGATGCGGCGGGGCGGGCCGTCACCGCGGTACGGGTGGGCGGCGGACCAGGCCATGACGGTGCGCGCCTTTGCGCAGAAGGCGTCGATGTGCGACTGGGCCTCGGAGCCCGGGGCCGACTTGACCCAGCGCTCGAGGACGCGCAGCGTGCGGCGCTCCTCTGGGCTCCGGCAGGTGTAGAGCTGGCTGGTGCGGTGCGAGAGCGTGTCTGCGAGGAAGTGGGTGGGCGTGTCCATGAGGAGGGTGTGGGCGGCGAGCATCGTGGCCACCGTGATGGGGTCCCGCCGCGCCTGGCCGTCGGCACCGGTGCGGGCGAGGCGGTCCTGCATGAGCCGCGTGGCCTCGTAGGTGGTGATGGTGCCCGTGGCGAGGTCCATCCTGTCCGAAGGGACGTGCGCGGAACGGGTGCTGCCGCCGACGTTGTCGTCGTCGAGGAAGAGGGATCGGAAGGCGGGGAGGAGCCTCTGGACCTCGAGGACCTTTTGGCGCTCAATGATGCGGAGCTTGTTGCAGATCGAGGCGCGCGCCTCGAAGCGGGGCTCGTCGATGGGCTCCTCGGTGGCGGGGGTCGCTTCGCCGGGGGCCGACTGGCCGGCGCTGCCGCTGGCGTCGTGCGGGTCGTGTGCGCCGTCCGAGGTCGAGGGCCCGTCGAGGTTCGAGGAGCTGACGTGGGAGCGCGTGGCGGCGGCGGCGCGGTAGGTGAGTCCGCGCTCGACCATGCGGGGCACCTGTATCATGACGTCGGTGTCGCGCGAGATGGTGACGACGCCCGTCGAGAGGAGGACAAAGATTTCGCCGTCGAGGCGCAGCACCTTTTTCTTCTTGTGGGCCTCGACCTGCGAGGCGGACGCCGAGGCGGGCAGGTCGCGCTCGTCGTCGGGCTTGGGCAGGACGATTCCGATGGCGCTGATGCCCGCGGTGCGGATCTCGACAAAGTCGCCGGCCTGGATGCGGCGGGGAGGGTAGAGGAAGTGGTCGAGGTAGAGGGCGTCGTCGGCGTCGTCTGGGCCGACGCCGGCGTCTTCGCGGGTGACGAGGGGCTGGTTGAGGCGGCCGGCGGTGTGGCCGCCGAGGAGGGCGTTGACGTCCATGGCGTGCCTACGGAGCCTCGCCTCTGCCTTGGCCTTTGCTTCGTCGCTGAGCTTTGGCCTGCCGAGGTTGCGGCTGGACGAGGAGCCGGGAGAGGGCTTCCACCCGGCGTAGGGGTCGGAGCCCGAGGGTGCGCGGACGGGCGGGTTGCCGAGCTTTGCGGCATTGAGGAGCTTTTCGGTGATGCGATCCCTGCGTCGCTGTTCTGCGTTGTCGAGGTCGGCGTCGGTGTGGGCTTGGGCGTCGGCTTCGGTTTCGAGGGCGGTGGTGTTAGGGGTGGGGTAGAGTTGGTCGAGGTCGCGGAAGCGCTTTTCGAGGTCGTAGGCGGGACGAGGCGACGAGGATGAAGAGGAGGGATCGCCTGATCCGTTCTTGTTGCGGTTGTTGCGGCGTGCGTTTGCAGAGTCCTTGCCTGATCGGAGGAGGGGCGGGCCGGACGAGTGCAGCTGGCGGTGTAGGATGACGAGGAGGGATGCGGCGAGCGAGGGGGCGCCCCGTGCTGCGGCCGCTGACCTGCGAGCTGCGAGCATGTTGGAAGTGGTGCAGTGCTCCGACCTGAGGCAGCTGGGCGGGATGGCGGGATGGCGGGATGGCGGGATGGCGGGAAGGTTGGTGGTGGTGGTGGTGGCGGTCGAAGATGACCACAGTTCTTCCTGCTCCACTCGACATTTTCGGCTGCCTCGGCGGTGGGGCCGAGGCTGCCTCTGCCGGCCGAGAGCACCTTGCCCTCGCTTCTCCACCCAGCCATGGGCCCTTTGGAATTTTTGGCAGGCGTGGCGAGGCCACGGCAGGCCAACTTTTTCTCCCGCAGCGGGAGTTGGCAGGTTCCCACCCACCCTTGGCTGCTCCTTCTCTGCTCGCCATCACCTTCACCTTCCACCGACCCCTCGACTGGCCGGCCACTGCCCCCACCATGTCGCACTCGCCGCCAACACACACGCATGTCGCCGCTGCGGCGGAACGCGCCGTCGACGACCATGCCGACGACCACACCCAAGCTGCACCCTCCTCGTCCAAGCAGCCAACTGCCCAGCACGGCTTCAACGCCTTTGCACACCTCCTCGACCCTCGCATCCTCCGCAGCCTCGCAGCGCTTGGTTTCGGCTCGCCCACCCCCGTACAGAAGGAGGCCATCCCTCTCGCCCTGGCCGGAAAGGACATCCTCGCACGCGCGAGCACCGGCAGCGGAAAGACGCTCGCCTACGGCCTCCCAGTCCTCCAGAAGGTCATTGACGCAAAAAAGGTGAGCATCGCCAGTCCTTGGCGCTCCAGCCAAGTACAGACGCAGCCCCTTCTCACCGTACTCTCTCCCCCCCCTTCCCCTTACCCCCTACCCGCTCCCCCCGCCACCAGTCCCTGTCCCGCTCCGACCCGGCCTACCAGGCCACCCGCGCCGTGGTCCTCGTCCCCACCCGCGAGCTCTCGGAACAGGTCACGGGCCAGATTGGCGCTCTCCTCGAGTACTGCAGGGACCAGGTCTCGATTGCCAACATCGCACGCGACGCCTCGAGCTCCGTCCAGAAGCTCCTCCTCTCGGAGCGCCCCGACATTGTCGTCGCCACCCCCTCGCGCGCCCTCGCCTACCTTCAGTCAAAGTCGCTGCACCTCGCCGCCTCGCTCGAGTCGCTCGTCATCGATGAGGCCGACCTCATCCTCTCGTACGGCCACGACGACGACGTCCGCGCCCTCCTCGGCGGCGGCTTCCTCCCCAAGTCGTTCCAGTCCTACCTCATGTCGGCCACCATGACGTCCGACGTTCAGAAGCTCAAGGGCCTCGTCATGCGCAACCCGGCCATCCTCAAGGTGCAGGACGACGTCGCCACCGCCTCCAACCTCACCCAGTACTACGCCACCGTGTCCGAGGAGGACAAGTTCCTCCTCACCTACGTCATCCTCAAGCTCCGCCTCATCAAGGGCAAGTGCATCCTCTTTGTCAACGACGTCGACCGCTGCTACCGCCTCCGCCTCTTTCTCGAGCAGTTTGGCCTCCGCTCCGTCGTCCTCAACAAGGAGCTCCCCATCAACTCGCGCTTCCACATCGTCCAGGAGTTTAACAAGGGCGTCTACGACTACCTCATCGCCACCGACGAGACCAGCATCCGCACCGCCGAGCGCGACGACGACGACGAGGAGGGGGAGGAGAAAGGAGCGGACGCCAGCGACGATGACGACGACAATGACAACGCCACCGCCGAGGCGAAGCAGAGCGACGAGGATCCCACCGCGACACCGTCCAAGAAGCGCAAGCGGGACGCAGCGGCAAAGTCTGCGGCCGCCGACGTCGCCTCATCGAGCAAGAGCAAGAACGGCGGCGGCGGCACCGGCACCGGCACCGGCAAGAGCGCCGAGTTTGGCGTGTCGCGCGGCATCGACTTTGTGGCCGTGTCGTGCGTCATCAACTTTGACCTGCCCACGTCGGTGCGCTCCTACACGCACCGCGTCGGGCGAACGGCACGCGCCGGCGCGACGGGCACGTCGCTCTCGTTTGTGGTGCCGGCCGACATGGTGCGGAAGCACAAGATCATTGCGTCGCCCACGTCGGCGCTCGACGCCAAGGTGTGGCCGCGCATCGAGCGGGCGCAGCGGGCGCGCGGCGGCGTAAAGGAGTGGAAGTTTGACAAGAAGCAGGTCGAGGGGTTCCGCTACCGCATGCAGGATGCGCTGCGGAGCGTCACCAAGCTCTCGATCCGCGAGGCTAGGATCCGGGAGCTCAAGGAGGAGGTGCTCAAGAGCGAGAAGCTAAAGGTGCGTTGCGGCGAGGTCGCGCGGTCGTCGTGGGTTTCTCTCTTCCGCTCTCTGTCCTGGCGGTCACTGACTCACACACACACTCTCTCTCTGCTTCTCTCCTCCCCTTTTCTCGTCCTCGCATCAACCCCTCCTCGTCTTGGGATCAACAGGCCTTTTTCGAAGACAACCCAACGGACCTAGCCTACCTACGTCACGACAAGATCCTGGGCAAGCAGACGCGGCTCCAGGCGCACATGAAGCACGTACCCTCGTACCTCCGTCCCCGCATCGTCGGCATCAAACCCAGCCCCTCGTCCTCCTCTTCCTCCATCAACGAAGGAGCAGGAAAGGACGGCGAGGTTGGGTTCGTCGCCAAAAAGGCAAAGACCCAACGTGGTCGTGGTGCGGGTGCGGGTGCGGGGAGAGGTAGAGGTGGTGCTGCTCGAGGGCGGGGAGGCCGGGGTGGAAGAGGGGGAGCGGGCGGTTCGAGGGGTAAAAAGTCCGACCCATTGCGCAAGTTCGGAAAGTAGACACGCCCACCGCCGCCGCCGCCTTGGGCGCGAGGCCAGCATGCTCCGCGCGGTCAGCCCCGCTCTGCAAGTAGCAAGCAGGGGGGGGGGGGGGGGGGAGAGGGCAGCAGTCGAGTGGTTTCGTATCTGTATAGCATCCAATCGCCATCATTCAAAACAGGCGACGGCCAGGCGTCGATCCATCAGCCATCTTGGCTCCCGCCCATCCCCATCTAACGTTGACGCGACTCGACCGCCTTGACCTCCTCACGCGGGCCAGCGACGGGGACCTGCCAGAACCACCGTTGTCGTGCCTCCTTTGCCCCGTCCGCCTGCTTCTCCTTCTGCACCACCGCCAGCACCACCTCCTCGTCTTCGCCATCCCTCCTGTCCTTTTTCCTGTTCGGCGCACCCGCCTCGTCCTCTCCCTCAGCGGCACCTTTTCGCTTCCGGTCCAACGCCGCAGCGACATCGCCGAGCCGGACGAGACCGAGGTCGCCGATACGCTGCGCGCGCAGCGCCTCCTCGACGCGGTCGGCGACGCCCCCATCGTCGTCGTCGGCGAGGTTGCACGAGTCGATGAGGAGCTGCATCTTGAAGCGCGCCGCCTGGTCGATGCGCGCCTTTGCGCGGCGTCGCGACGGGCCGGATGCGAAGCCGGGCTGTTGAACCGCACGCAGACGAACGGACGAGACAAGACGGGACGGAACGTCGGCGCGTGCGTGAGAGAGAAACGAGCAGAGGGGTCAGTCGGCATCCACATGGAAGACAGCGCTATTCGAGAGGCCATGTAGGCGAAAGGGCCCACTCACCTGCTTAAGCTCGACGCTCTCGACGACCAGGCTGACGCCGTCGTGGGTGTTGCCCCAGCTGCGGCTCTTGATGCCTCCGCGCTGGCAGCCCTTGTACGCGATCAGCTTGGGCGCGATGCGCAGGATGACCGACAGGTCCGCCGGTCGGTTCGCGGGCCCTGCCCGAAGGCCATTCTCGTGCCCGGCGGAACCGCCTTCCTTGTCGCCGCCGCCGCCGCCGCCGCCCGTAGAGGCACCATTGGTGACCTTTGCTGCGTCATCGACGGCCGAAAGACCGTTCCAGGCGCGCGCGGCTCGGCCCGGCGGCACCCACGCCGGCACGCCCTCGGGCTCGAGCGAGGGGCCCTCGACCCAGCCGGCGTGGACACACATTGCCAGGATGTCGCTGTCGTCGGTATAGACGTCGGTGCCCCACAGCTTGCGCCGCAGCAGCGGCGAGAGGCGCCAGAAGCGCCAGGGAGACGCCGGTGCCGGGGCGGCGCCCGCGGCGGAGCCAGCGTCGCTTCCCCGCTTGCCGGCATCAGCCTCAGCGCCTGCCTTGTCCACCTGGCCCTCGGTCGACGCTGCCGGTGCAGGGGCTCGGGGACGTTGCCGTCGACGGTGGTCCCGGAAGAGGGCAGCCTCGGCGATGCGCTCCTCGATCCGCATCTCGAGGCTCATCCGGGCATGCTCCTTGCCCCTCCAGCCGAGCTTCCAGCCGTTGCCACGGCCTTCGAGCGCCTCTTTGCCGTCGGGGCCTTCCATCATGGCCTGCAGCGCCTCGCCCATCTCGCGGCGGTCCAGGGCCTGCCGCTCGAGCTTGACAAACTCGTCCCAGCTCGGCCCGCCGCGACCGGTGTGGCTCAGCAGGTCGCCCGAGATGCGCACCTCGATGGTGGCACCGACATTCTTGGCCAGCAGCTCGGCGGGAAAGAGCGGGTCGATGGTCGGGTCGTAGAGCCACGAGCCCAGGTGGCGCACCGGGCGGCCCTTGTCCATGCCGATGAGGTGGCGCGGCAGCGGGTCCCGCGGGTTCGCGACGACGGGCAGCGGGCGTGGGATGTCGACTTCGGCTTGGGCTGGGGCGGCTGGGGCCTTTGCCTTGGCATTGGCAGCGGCCACCTCGTCTCCAGCAGGCTGTGCTTCTGCTGCGTCGGCCATGCTCACGTCGGCGTCGGGCGCGGCGACAGTGGCGCCTGCCTGCGGCTCACCTGCGCCGGCAGGCGCGGACCCGGCCTCGGGCTCGGGCTCCGAGGCGACGTCGAGGGGCAGCCGCTGCAGACGCCGGATGGCCTCGTCCCGCTCGCAAAGCTCGAGGTACAGCCAGACGGGCTCGCTGTCGACCCGCGGTCCAGCGTTGAGGTCCCTTGGAACATGCTGCTGTGGTGGCGCTGGGACCGGCATCCCAAACGCCGCGGCCGGGTTGACGCCGGGCGGCAGCACGACTCCGGGCGGATAGCCTGCCACGGCCGCTTGCTGCACCGCTGCCTGGATCTCTGCCACGGTCGGTGGCCGTCCAAACGCCTGCTGGTGCGCCGCCACAAACGCCTGATCCCGAGCGGCAGCCATCATCGCGTCCTCGAAGCTGCCCGGCGGGGGGCGGAGCGAGAAGGGCAGGTCGCCGATGGCCTGGCCGCGCATCTGCACCGCTTGGGCCTGCGCCTGCGCCTGGGCCTGGGCCTGAGCGTGGGCTCGTTCCAGCTCCAACTCCCTCTCGCGCTCCCGCTCCCTCTCTCGCTCCCTCTCGCGCTCGCGTTCGCGCTCCCGCTCCCGTTCCAGCGCCAGCTGCTTCTCGGCCTGCTGACGCTCCTTGCGCCTCTCGCGCTTCTCCTGCTCGCGCTCCCTGTCGCGGAGCAGCTTGTTCTCCCGCTCTATGGCAGCCTCGCGCTGTTCCCGCTCCCGTTCGCGTTCACGCTCGCGCTCGCGCTCGTGCTCGAGGGCGTACGGGGACGCCGGCCGCACCTGGCCCTTGCCAGTTGCGGAGAGCGGCGGTCCGTCACGAAGCCCGCCCGGACCGTGAGCGCGCTCGCCTGGCGGGAGGGATGCTGCGAAGGGCGGAGGAGGGAGCGATGACGGGGCGCCCGGTTCGTGCTTGAGAGTCGGCGGGCCGTGGGCAGAAGCAACCTGCGGCCCCGTAGATGGTGGAGGTGGACCGGCGCGAGGAGGTCGGTCGTAGTCCGGTAGGCTATCGCGGCCGCCGCCGGCTGCGTAACCGCCAGGCGTCGAGACGGAGCCCGGCGGTGGCGGCGGCAGAGGACCAGCATCCCTATGGCCATAAGGTGGCTTCTCCCAGTCACGGTCGCGCTCCCGAGCGGCCTGGTTCGGCGCCTGCAGCTTCGTCTTGTCCTTGCGGCGATCGCCAGTCGATCTGCCCTGAGCCGGGCTCACGGGCCGGTAATCGGGAGCGCCAGTTGCGCTGGGAGGCGGGCCTCGGCCGTCGTAGTGGGGCCGGAGAGGCTGCGCCGCGGCGGGAGGAGGCAAGGGCCCCCTGCCCGCAGAGCCTGGGGAGACGGGCTGCGGCGGGAGCGGCGGCGGCCCATAGCGCTCGTACGGCCCTTCGTCCATCATCATGGCCTCCGGCGGGATCGGACGGCCGTAGCGATCCACGAGCATCTCCCTCTCGCGCTCGCGATCTCGGAGGCCGCGTTCGCGCTCCCGCTCCCGCTCGCGTTCCCGGAGCCGGTACTCGCGCTCTCGGTCCCGTTCCCGCTCAATGTCGTCGTACATGCCGTAGCCGGCAGCTGCGCGGCTGCGTTCGGGCGAGCGGCTTGGCGGTAGCATGGCGTGATGCTGTGGCGGCGGAAGCGGTGCTCCCATCTGTGGGCCGCCAGTCGCCGGCGGACCCGGCTGACGAGGGTGGTCGTCAAAGTGGCCCATGTAGGGCGGAGGCTGTTGTCGATCCCGGCCCGAAGCGGCCAGAGGAAGTTCGCTGCCACTCAGCTCGCGGCTGTGACGGCTGCGGTGGGCGGCGAGGACGGGGCTCTGGCGAGGTGGTAGTGCGTTGGGTGCCATCTCGCGCGGGCTGGGCCCCGGTCCAGGGGGAGGGCCGTGGTAGCGAAGGTCGCCGCTGGGCACCCTGGTGTGGGTCGAAGCCCTCTCTCCGGGCCCGGCCGATGCGCTGGCATGCGCTGGAGGCCTGTGCGAGGCGCGCCAGTTGTGCTCCCGCTCGCGTTCGCGCTCGAGCTCCAGCTCGCGCTCGCGCTCCATCCAAGAGGCCGGCGCCATGTACTCGTCGCCTGCCGAGCCGCTCCACTTGCGACGCGGCGGCAGTTGCGTCGACGGGCTCGAGGTCGTGGTGCCGGGTGCGGTCATCGACAGCGGCGGAGACCTCCTGTCGCCTCCTCCTGCCATCATGGACGGAGGTGGCGGCCCGGACGCGTAGGCGCTGCGGCCTCTGTCGCGATCCCGCTCGCGGTCACGCTCCCGTTCCCAGTCCCTTTCGCGGTCGCGGTCGAGGCGGGGCAGCGGCGGACGCGACTCGGGGCTCTCCTGCATCGCCCTGGCCGAAGGCCCGAGGATCGAGCTCATGCTCATCGGGTCGGAGCGAGGTGACGGAATGGGCGCCGATTGCCTCCAGCGGTCGCGACCCGAGGGGGCCTCGTCGCGGTGGAGGGGCGGGGGCGCCGGGTAGGCGTAGGGCCCCTGGCCGGCCGACGCGGGCGGAGGCGACGGCGGCAGTGATCCGGCATACTGCGCCCTCGGCGGCGGAAGGGACCCGGCGCCGTAAGCCGAGGTGGGCGAGCGCTGGCCGCGGTGCAGGGGCGGTGCGGCCTGGGTGATTGGAGGTGCCGATCCGTGGCCAGGATGGTGCTGGCCGTGGTGGTGGCCGGCCTGGTGAGGCTGCCGATGGTGGTGGTGGTGACGGGACTGCTGCTGGTGCTGCGACGCGAGTGGCGGCGGCGCATGGGCCGAATGGCTGGACGGCGGCCGATTGCTGCCCCCTTGGCCGCCGGGGGAGCCGGCAGCGGCGTGGTCGTCTCGGTTCATGGCAGAGAGCTGATACGACCGCAGGTGTGCCTGAGGGGCGAGTGGCGAGGTGAGAGTCTAGTGGAGCTGCAGCACGAGATGAGATAGAGTCCCTGCCTGTGCTGATGGCTCGAGCGGTGAGGCGTTCCGATGCGCCAGCAAGCAAGTCAGTCGGTTCGTCGTCGAGGAGCGCAGTCCGGGTCGGTCCGTTGCCGCGTGCAGAGATGCGAATGGTGCGGATGTCCCGAGCAGAAGGGCAAGGGTATAGGCAGGTTCGATGACCGGATCAAGCCGGCATAACGCTGGTGTCCTCGGGTCGGGAAGCTGCCGAAGCTGGCGTGCGGATGGCAACCGGTCGCCGTGCCCGTAGTCTATCTGGCCGGCAGTCGAGGGAGGTGACCAAGAAGCAATAATCCAGATCGAACAGCTGGCTGTCTGGCCGGCTGACGGGCTGACCGCGCGTCGAGTGGCCGGGCCACGAGAGAGTCCGCCGCGTCGAGGATGTCGGGAACAAGAGCAAGGAAGACGCCGGTGGGGGGGCTCGAGGCTTCCTCGGGAGACGGCGAGCAGGGACGAGGGAAAGATGCAGAGGACAGAGACGGGGGCGACGCAGATGGCGGAAAAAGCAAACGCCTGCGGAGATGCGGCGCGAGGTTGGGATGTAGTGGTTGGTGATGGTGGTGGTGGTGGTGGCCGTGGTAGTGGTAGGGCGGTGGAGACGGCTCGCGGGTTGGGCGGATGGCGAGGCAGCAGGACGAGGGCCCGAGAAGCCCGCCCGACTGAACGGAGGAAGAAGCGGCGGGCGCCGTCAGCCGGTCGCAGG